AAAACGAAATTGGCAAGTTTCTTTCGAAGGCTGCGAAAGCTGCTAAATTGCCTGGTAACATCACAAACCACTCCGTGAGAAAAACCTGTATTTCCCGTTTAATGGATGCCGATATTCCCGAGAATTACGGACAGTACTAAACCACGAAACAGCGAAACGAAACAGCGAAACAACGAAACAGCGAAACGAAACAGCGAAACAACAGGTTTTATATTATTTTTAGTAAAAGGAATAAACTATATTTATATCAAAGTAGAACGAAGTTAGACGAGATGAAATCCTCAAAGTCAGGGACGCCGGAACAATGTGAAGGCAGGGGGGGGAGGAGATTTTCGTGAAAGGGCACTTTTGAATTGGTATATACTTACTAAGAGATATTTGCAAAACATCGGGAATTGAACTTCGCCTAACCATGTTTTCTATTTATTGGATGATAGGGGTGTGAGGGGGTTCTCCGCTAGGCGATTGTGATATTCTTGAAGCTCAATGACTGCATTTCTTGCGTTTTCTGAAGCAAATTCGTAAAAGAATTGCACTAACATTTCTGACAATTCGCTATTTCACCAAGGCAATCCTTTAAACTGAGAGGGCACCTTTGCCCCCTTGCCCCTTCTGCTAAAGGGCAACGGGGGCGGCTGCCCCTCCTGCCCCCCTTCCAGTTCCAGCGTCCCTGCTTAGAGTTACAACGCCATCAGCACATAAAAGTCATAATTAATACTAATAGTGTCACGTATTAATCTTTATTATCGAATGTTGGGAAGGATATAGAAACTCTTCTGCTTTTCGAATACTATCAAAGTTTCCTCTGTTATAATTTCTTTGAAGTTTTCATGTTGTTTTGACATTAAATTTTGACTGTGAAACGAGCATGTGTGTGTGGTGCTCGGTCAAAATAGCCTCCTGCGCAGACGTTGTTAGTGGCCGAGGCCTCACCTAACGTCCGCTCACATTCGCTATACATTTGACTTCCCGGCAATTAACCAATCACAATCATCTACACGATAATTGGAAGATCGGCCTTCAATGACCTTCACACGCATGGGCTATATCAACAAGTCTGTAGTATTTTTAAATTTGAA